ACCCAACCTAACAAATATGCATATCCCTAAAACCAACATAGTGCCAACACACAAAGTTGTGCCAACCGAATTGCAGCCTATCTCTAATACATTCCCTAGGCTGCAACGTCAGAAGCCGTAGGGACGCCAAGTCCCATGGTACGGAGGAGACGATAGTGATCACGACATCCAAGAGCCTTCGTAAACAAGTCGGCGCGGTTGCAGTCAGATGAAATATGCTTGATGCACAACTGCCCTCGCTGGACGAGCTCGCGCATGAAAAAGTGTCTCAATTCGATATATTTGGTTCGTTGGTGGAAGACAGGGTCTTTGGTGAGGTGGATGGTGCTCTCGTAATCACACCACAGAATCGGGGTCTGCTGAGGATACCCGAGCTCAGCCATGTGGTAGGTAAGCCATCGAGCTTCTAAGGCTGCCATGGTGCTTGCGTATAGCTCAGCTTCGCAAGACGACAATGAGTCGGATGATGAGGTGTAGATCGCCAGCTGATGAAGCAATAGCCTTGGGAAGAGCGGCGGTCACCTTGATCATCAGCCCATGAGGAGTCGCTGTATCCCTCGAGGTGAGGAGGGGTTGTGCCACCGAGAGTGAGGACTTAGTCTTTGGCGGCTTGGAGGTAGCGAAGGACGCGCTTAGCAGCCGACCAGTGGCGATTGGTGTATCGACCGGCAGCAATGTAACGCGAGAGCACACTGATGGTGTAGGCGAGGTCGGGCCTTGTGCACATCATCGCATACATGAGTGATCCGACGAGCTCGGGGTATGCCTCATCACAAGGCTCAAGCGATGGAACTGATGGAGTGGTCAGATCATGCTGCAAGGGAAGGGGAGTGGCCACTGGCTTGGCGTTGTCCATGGCAAAACGCATGAGGACGTTTTTCATATAGAACTCTTGAGAGAGAGTGATGGTTCGAACTGCGCGATCCCGCGAGATTTCCATCCCAAGGTAGTTCTTGAGTTCGCCGAGGTCCTTCATCGCGAGAGCGTCCCCAAGAGCTTGCTTAACAGCTGCCAACTGATCGGGGTCCTTGGAGACTAGAATCATATCGTCAACGTAGACGAGAATGAAGAACAAGTTCTCGTTCTTGCGAATGAAGAGACTCGGATCGGCTGAGGAGGGGTGGAAGTCGAGTGACTCGAGGGTTGCCTTGAGCTTCTTGTGCCATTCCCGAGGAGCCTGTTTCAATCCGTAGACTGGTCGATTCAGCTTCCAGACCGTGCCGGGTGGAAAGGGTAAGGGAAATCCTTGAGGACGTTCCATGTAGATGTTCTCGGGGAGATCCCCTTGGAGAAATGCAGCAGAGACGTCCATGGAGTGAGCAAAGTTGCATCGAGCAGCGATGTCCAGCAGGGTCCGTAGTGTGGGCAGCGATGTCCTTCTTCTGCGTGAAGCCTTTTGCACAGTATCGCACCTAGAAGATTAGGAGTTCGCCAGGCAGCTGCTTGACGCGAAAAACCCATTTGCCACGGTCAATGTTAACTCCTCGCGGAGGAGAGACGTCCGTGAAAGAGTTGTTGTGAATAAATGCTTCACACTCCGCGATCATGGCTGCGAGCCACTGAGGGGAGTGTGGTCCAGAGATGGCTTCATCATATGAGTTCGGGGTCGGGATGGATGGATTTTCAGAGAAGTTAGGAGTTGGAGCGTCAGCAAGATCGGGGAAGAGATGGTAGAGCTCACGGATGGCAGCATTGATCTCAATCAGCTCCTCATGCCTATCCTCCAAGAGGCTAGGCATGGATGCACCCCCGGCAGGAGGAGGCGGATTGAGGGAGATGCGAACAGAGAGGGCGAGAGGCGGAGCGGGACCATGAGAGTGGGTGCGGTGAGCAATAGGGACATAAGAGGAGGGAGGTGGCGGGGGAGGAAGTGGAACGTCGACGTAAGAGCGGCCGTGGCGGCGGCGATGATAGGTGACGGGCGGATCGGGAGAAGAGGTGGAGGTTGAAGGCGGAAGTGGAGGTTGAAGGTGGGGATGGAGGTGTGGGGGCAGGGGGAGGCGCAGAAGGAGAGGGAGGTGGAGGGGCAGTTGCAGGAGCGGGTGCAGGGGGAAGTGCAGGCATGGGCAGAGGTGAACGGGCAGCTGAGCCAGTGGGCGAAGGGGGGTGAGAGAGAGTGGAAGGAGATGGGGGAGGCGAGAGTGAGGGGGCCACAGGAGGAGCGGCAGAGGGAGGAGGTGGAGAGGGTGAAGTATCGAAACCGGCCCACACAAGCGAAGGTGGAGCGGTGGAGGGTGGTGAAGAGAGGTAAAAGGGCGAATTTCGGCAAATGAGACATCGCGGCTGCGAATGAGCTGATTGGTGGAGGGATTGAGGAAAAGGTAGTCGGGAGAGTCCAGGTTGTGGCCGAGGTAGACACAGGGTTGAGTTTTTGGTGCAAATTTGCTGCCATGGGTGCGACGTTCCTGAGGGTTGGGGAGGACATAAGCGGTTCACCCCCATACGCGGAGAGGACGTGCACTGGGCTTGGTGCCGGTCCACAGTTCGGCGGGAGTGATGTCAGGCCGAAGAGGGTGAGGGTGAAGGTTGTACAGCAGCGTGGGTTGGAGGAGGGAGTAACTCCAAAGGGAAGGTGGTGCACCAGCGTGAGTGAGAAGACATCGAGCGATTTGCACGAGAGTGCGATTGCGTCTTTCGGCAATGCCATTCTGCTGTGGACTGTGGGGAAGGGTGAAGGTATGGCGAATGCCTTAGGAGGCACAGAACGCTTGAAGGGAATTATTTCGAAATTCGCCACTGCCATCGGAATGGAGGCACTTGACTGATGTGCGGAAATGATTTTGGGCTTGTCGAACCCATGCGATGACGACATTTGGAACAGCTTCTTTGGAGGAGAGTAGGTGGACAGACGCATAGCGAGAGTGATCGTCAACGAGCACTAGGAAGTAAGATTGCCCACCACTAGAGAGTACTGGAGCCGGGCCCCAGACGTCCATGTGGACGAGGTCAAGCGGGGCGGCTGCAGCAGAGGGCGACGAAGGGTGAGGCAGCTGGCGTTGTTTCCTTTGCGCGCAGTCCAAGCATGGAGGAGCGGGAGAAGAGGAGGGTGGAGGAATTGTGTCGGGCAGGTGAAGAAGCAACTTCTTGGATTTTAGCTCGGAGAGCATGCGCATGCAGCACTTCTAGGAATCTCCCAACCAAAGATACGAAACTCGAAGAAGTTAACACGCGTGTTTTAAGGTCATCTTTTTATGGTTGGGGTGTTGATGAAGGCTTTGGTGAAGTAGGGTGGAGCATTCGCTGTTTGACGGCTGTTCGTGCGCCGGGCAGGTTGGTGCTGCTTTTGTGGCTTGGTCGACGTCACATTTCTTTGGCGTAGCCAGCCAAGTATGCAGAAACCAGGTTTCGCCATCGGACGCAGCTGTTCGTGGACCCCAGTCGCACGAATTCTGGCCGGCAAGGTGTGGTAGGGGTTGGTTGGCCAAAGTTCGAATTGCCCCGCCAAACATTGCAATGTGCAATTCCGACGTGGCGAGTCGGGTGGCTAAACTTCAAAGTTTGGCCAAACTTCAGAACGCGGCCAAGTCCCCAGAGCAACCCTGCTTTCAAGTCTTCATACCCTTAAAGGAGACTGCGATCGTGTGTCGAGGGGCGCGACACATTTTTATGAACACGGACTTAATTTAACCCATGCTCGATCAATTGTTTCGCAGAACCTCGCGAGGGGCGAACAAACCAATGAACATGGGAAGATTTGGTATTTTACGCGTGTCACGTTTCGTAGAGTGGTAATTTCTGGGTTGTCGCGACACTTTACAAGCGAGAAACTGGTTACTTTCGCAAATACCTTGCGCTTCATGTTGACAAAAAATGGTTGCGTTCTACAGGCAGAAAAGGAAAGTGCAGATTACATCAGAGCACCTTCCGAAAGCCTGATTTTTTGCTTCGGATCGAGGGTCAGCCCGCAAAATTTAGTCCAAACCTGACACAAGGTACCCGAACCTAGTTACATCAAAATGCCTGCAGAACAGGTCCATGTACAGATGACATCTACGTCAGGGAAACACCCCCCTCGCTTCCCTCCCTGACAAATTTGACGCAAAGGTGACGCAATGCTGACGTTCGCTAAATCGAGGAGTTCACCTTGCGTGTGGCGTTACATCAGCCGCAAGGGTGTACTAGGCCTCCACACCCCAAAAAAACCAGTGCCACCACTTTACCCTGCCTCTCGAACTTGGGCCTGCCCTGCAAAACAACTGCAGGTGGAAAAACCCATCGCCAGAGAGAGTCGTATGACTTCTAACAGCACCACTCTTTCGACCTGCTCCGTCTTATACTCAGCGCGTCTAGGAACCACATTTCTAGTCGAAAAAAACGCGCGACTGTGAGGAGTCACGCTAAATGACACGGGGTTGTGAGGGCATGTTACCTCAGTGTTGGTTATTTTATCGTCATTTTGCTCCGAAATATTTCTCTGCTGCCCTGGGGCAGCAGGTTTTTTTTTGCGCATCTTTTAAATTCGCCGCTCTCTCCTTTCGCTTGGGCTTTCCACAATTTGGTCGCGTGGCTTCCAAGCGAGGTTGGGAAAGTGCACCTGGTTTGGGTGGTAACCAGTGCTCTTGAAGTCGCTTGAGGAGCTTCCTCAATGTCGACGTCGACGTCTACGTCAAATGCCTGTAGAACACAGCCAATGTGGCGCTTCTGTGACGGGATTCATGAGTGGAACGTTCGTTGTTTCGTGAAAAACACACATCTCAGGGGGAAATCGCAACTTCTTGCATGAAAACACTCGGGGAAATTGCAGTTTGGACAGAATGCCTAGAAATTGCACATTCTGGATTTCATTACTGAAACTGAACATGAGTGTGCCATTACAGTTACTCAAAACGAGAACCAACTTGTGCCGAAATCCTCTCGCACCACTTTGGAGGCGCCCTTATCGATTGTACTTATGGCTCTTCGCTCAACTGCCACGCGCCAAGGCATCGAGGATCGTTCGCCAGATACTCAATGAAAGTCTGGCTTGCGTCGAGTTAGCGACAGTGTTGACCCTGCGTGGCCACGTGTGTGACGTGGCGCGACTAGTGGGGAGACGTCACTAGTATCATGCTGGAGTCGTTTCAACAATGTGGTCGATTCGCAAGCTGCTTGGCAAGCCGGACAAGGCTACTACTAAGGGCGCAGCCACAGGCAAGCCGCGCTTTATTGAGACGCGACGTCTCGTCAATTCGCTATTATGTCTCTGACGCCTGTTCGCGCGCTCAGCACATCCCCTTCGCCCGCACTCTCTCTGCTTGTCTCGTTCTTGCCCATTCCTACCTTCCCTCCTCCTCCTTTCCGCGCTCTGTCTACCTCCCGATTCTTCCCGCGTTGCTCCCTCCCCCTTTCCTCCCCAGCATCATCTCCCCCTCCCCCCCCCCCTTTCCTTTCTTCCCCCCTGCGCTGCCCTCGACTCGTCGCATTGCCCTACACTCGTTCGCCCTCCATATCCCCTTTGCCCCTCCCCCGTGCTCCCCTCCCCCATGCGCCCAACTGGCCCCGTCCTCCCGCCACTAGTCTGGGAGTGGTGCTGCTGGAACTGCTGTGCGGCCGCCGCACTGGGTATGAAGCCTTCTTCAGAGACTTCGTGAGTGCCAGTGTGTTCTTTCTTAGTGCTCTGCCTGGTGCGCCTCAGTAGCACTGGTGGTTCTGATTCGTGGGACCTCTTGCTGTCGTTCCGTTCAGTCCGTGCTCCTCCCCCCGTGCTCCTCCCCCCGTGCTCCTCCCCCCGTGCTCCTCCCCCTGTGCTCCTCCCCCCGTGCTCCTTCCCCCGTGCTCCTCCCCCCGTGCTCCTCCCCCCGTGCTCCTCCCCCCGTGCTCCTCCCCCCGTGCTCCTCCCCCCGTGCTCCTCTCCCCGTGCTCCTCCCCCCGTGCTCCTCCCCCCGTGCTCCTCTCCCCGTGCTCCTCCCCCCGTGCTCCTCCCCCCGTGCTCCTCCCCCTGTGCTCCTCCCCCTGTGCTCTTCCCCCCGTGCTCCTCCCCCCGTGCTCCTCCCCCCGTGCTCCTCCCCCCGTGCTCCTCCCCCCGTGCTCCTCCCCCGTGCTCCTCCCCCAATGCTCCTCCCCCCGTGCTCCTCCCCCCGTGCTCCTCCCCCCGTGCTCCTCCCCCCGTGCTCCTCCCCCCGTGCTCCTCCCCCCGTGCTCCTCCCCCGTGCTCCTCCCCCATGCTCCTCCCCCGTGCTCCTCCCCCAATGCTCCTCCCCCCGTGCTCCTCCCCCAATGCTCCTCCCCCCGTGCTCCTCCCCCAATCCTCCTCCCCCCGTGCTCCCCCAATGCTCCTCCCCCAATGCTCCTCCCCCCGTGCTCCTCCCCCAATGCTCCTCCCCCCGTGCTCCTCCCCCAATGCTCCTCCCCCCGTGCTCCTCCCCCAATCCTCCTCCCCCCGTGCTCCCCCAATGCTCCTCCCCCCATGCTCCTCCCCCCGTGCTCCCCCAATGCTCCTCCCCCCGTGCTCCTCCCCCAATGCTCCTGCCCCCATGCTCCTTCTCCTAACTTTCAGCCATCGTTCTCGCACCTCCATTAGGCTTATCGTTTTCTGGTTTGGGTTCTTGGTTTTGCGCCTGCTGCTTGCCTGTTCATGGTTCCATTCACCCACACGCATCTTGCCCCCTCTCCCTCCTCTTTACCCACGCCAGATTGAAGCGCAGCTACGAGCCAACAACGTGGCTGCTATGGTTGATCCCACCCTCGCCTCCTCCCTCCGCCCACCCGCCACCAACACCCTTTCAAGCATCCCTACTAGCAGCAGCACCACCAACACGCTTGGCGGTATCATCAACGACAGCACTGCTGATGCTACACTGAGCGGTCCTCTAGCGAATGCTCTTGTACCGAGTATAGTGCGGCTGGCTCGTGCCGGGCTCGCATGCACTGCCATAGATGCTTCCTCCCGGCCCTCGTTAGGCAGCATCATTGCTGAGCTGGAATCTGTGAGGGATGACGTGGCGACAGCATTGAGGAACATGGAGGAGGAAGAGGAGGAAAGGCAGGAAGGGGAGGTGCATGGAGGGAGTGACGCAGTTGCAGACCAGATAGGAAACTCACATGTGGATCCCGAGACCCAGAGCGAACTCCCTCTATCACCTGCTCCTTTCTCTCCTCGTCCTGTCGCCATCGCCACTCCCTCCTCCTCCGCTCTCCCCCTGGCGCCGCTGCTGTGCCAGCAGCTGAGTGTGGGGGAGGTGGTGCGGGCGACCAACGGGTGGGCGGAGGAGAGTCGGATAGGCAGTGGCGGGTTTGGGGATGTCTATCGGGGTGTGAGCCCCCTTGATGGCTCGACTCTGTGGGCCGTGAAGCGCGCCAAAGTGCTCACCAACGACTTTAAGAAGGAGGTGAGCTGTGCGGTTATGACATGGGGATAGGACATAGGAGCCAAGCCAACATACAGTGGTCAGCAGCGACTTTTGAAGAGAGCTCATCGTTGACTTCTGGAGAGAGGCCAGCCACGTGAGTGATGGGAGAATCGATGGAAGATGTGAGTCACGATATTGAGATGGGAGTGAGTCGATGCACGCTGCTCACCGACAATTCCCCCCACAGTCTTCCTCCTTCCCCCCTCCCCTCCCCCTTCCCCCCTGCTCTCCTCTTCCCGGTGTCCTGTCAGATCAACGAGATGGCATCGAAGCACCACCCGAACCTGGTGCGCCTGCTGGGCTACTGCCAGTACTACGATGCTCCAGCAGAGCGCCTGGAGCAGATCGCCGTGTACGAGCTCATGCCCAATGGCGACCTGCACCACTGCATGCGCGCCCACGAGACAGGTGGGGGGAAGGGGAGGGGAGGGGGGGAGCTGCAGGGGAGGAGTGGCTGCGAGAGCAAGAGCGAGAGTGCGAAGGGAGGAGAGGAAGAGGGGAAGGAGAGGTGTAGGAAGCTTAGTCAATCTACTCGCCTCCTCCTGTTGCTGTTTTATTCTCAGTGTGCCCAAGTCTCTTCTTTTCCTTTCTGCTCTCTAGGGGATGTGACCCCCCTGACCCTGCAGCAGCGGCTGGACATTCTGATAGGGGTGGCTCGCGGACTGGAGTTCCTGCATAGCTTTTCCATTGTGCATCGCGACATCAAGCCGGCCAACATCCTGCTGGACAACCGCCTCCAGGTGAGTCCTTTACTCTCCAGTTCTCCTCCCCTTCTTGAGACCATCTTCCTCCTGTCACCCTGCTCTGCTCTGCTCTGCTCTGCTCTGCCCTGCTCTGCCCCTTTCTGCGTGTATCTGCTCTCCTTCCTTGGCTCCTGCAGGCGAAGCTGTCTGACTTTGGGTCGCTGAAAAGGGACGACAGCAGCGGCTCACTGCAGTCCACTCGGATGATGGGCACTCCGGGCTACGTCGACCCCACTTATGCCCGCACCCGCAGGGCCACGCCTAGTGCTGACGTGTACAGGTGGGGAAGATGCGTGCGCGTGTGTGCATGCACGCGTGTATGTGTCCATCTTTCCATGCAGTAACATGGCACTGCATGTGGCATGGCAGCACACAGTAGCTGCTTGCCAGAGAGTCGCCTGTTGACGCATGCTGCCCGATCACTCATTGTTCGGACGGCATTTTGCTCATCAAGAGCCACCCACCATGCCCCTTGCCCTTTCCCTCGCCTCCCTCCACTACGTACATCTCTCCACGTATTTTCGTCTCTTCCCGCTCTGTCCTTCTTCCTTTCCCCCTCTCCCTCTCTCCCCCCCTTCTTCACCCCAGCTTTGGCCTGGTCATGATGGAGTTGCTCTCGGGCAAGCGCGTGGTGCTGCCATGTGGTGGTGTATTGCACATCAAGGATTGGGTATGCTTCTATGCATGGTTCTTTCCACAATGTCCTTAACCCTAAATCACAAAGCTTGCTCGTTGTCTGTTTTCCTTGGTCAGTTGTTTGTGCTCGGGAAGTCAGTGTGTCCCCTCCATAGTCGCATCTGTCTTCCCCTCCCATCTTCCTCCTCCCTTCCCTCCTTGCCCTTCTCCTGCTGTCTCTTCCGTCTCTCACTCTTTTTCTCAACCGCCAGCCACCCTCCCCAGTGCATTGTTCTTTCCTCTCCATATTGGGCTTTATGCTACTGTATATCTCATCGCATGGCTTTTGCGGTCTCTCAATCATGGCAGGTGGAGCTGCAGGCTGCGAGTGGGAATAGCACGTCTGTTGTCCACGCGGATCTCAATGCACCAGATGCCATGGCCTCCAAGTTAGTCCAGCTGTCTCTGTCGTGTGTTGCGGAGTTGACCTTGGATCGCCCCAACATGAGCCAGGTAATAGTTGAGCTTGAAACTCTGAGCAAGGGATTCATGGGTGGAAAACAGGAGAGAGTAGCTAGGCAGTTGGATGCTTGTATGCAAACCTCTCGTTTAGGCAGATGTCTGGAAGAGGAGATCGATGTGATCAGGAGCACGCATCTAGATGATTAATGTGCTATCTAATACTGTATATGTGGATAATATACTTTGTAAGTAAAATTGCATAATGTACATAGATTTAGTAACATCGTTCGTTAGTGGGGATGGAAAGTTTGCGTCCGATAGCCGTTATGGTCTGTGCTTGTAGCGAAGCACTGTGGTGATGCCGTCACCCCTAGCAGTGTGCGTGTGGACCCCCAATACCCCGTTCCTTCCGTCCCGTTCATGTTCTTCTGACCGTGAATCCCGCTGGATTCATTACACCGAGAATTGTGGAAACATCCTAAGGGGAAAAATATGCTGGTCAGGATGAGAACTATCTGAGACAGGTAGGGAGCCCCACCTCTTAGTTCTTAGTGAAGTTACACTTCTCCCCAGCCACATTCTACGGTCCATCGTCATCGATTGTGTTATTCAGGAATGTCGACACGAAAAGCGGTCGCTCAAGGCAAAGGGAGCTGCTGCTAGTACACTAGGGGGTTCGTCAAAACGGGGGCTGCCCCTGTATGCCCACCCAATAAAATGACACCAGCTGGCTGTGCCTCGAGCTGCTTTCTGTTCTGCCACGTGGACCAAACAGCACTCGTGGGCCGTGCTTCGGTGAACATCTGGTGTGTGGTTCGGCGAGAACACCACCACCCAACCACCTCATCGAATCAGCCGCGCTTCACATCTGGTGTGTGTCTCCCTCGCCGTCTTGTAACCAATTCACGACATCGCACACATCATTGGCGAGTTGTTTACCTGGAGTAACAGCCAATCATTGTGGGTCCAAGAGGACGCAAACGCAGTAACTGACAATCGTGAACGCTGATCAATTTTCGCCATGCCCTGCTTTCAGAAATTGGCTGGGCTGTGTGGCTCTGGCCCTGGCACTACATTTCGAACATCTGCTGCTGCCAGTTCCATGGGGCGATTGTTGTTACTTGAACTTTTTTCAGGCGCGATCGAAATTGGTGGCAGTACTAGTATCTATCGCATTAGACGTCAGAAACCAAGCCATTGCGTGCGGTGTGAGAAGCCTTTTTGCGGAAACCTACTCGCGGTCGCCGCTTTTGGCAGAAACGACATACCTGGTTCCAGGCCCGACTGGTTTCCTAAAGCGAGAAGTGCGCTGCGTCCACCATCTCTCTAATTCGTCGTCGTGTATTCCTCGCCACCTCCGGCCCAGTAGTGGGCCAGTAGCCAAATATCGGGTCGCGTTGTTCTGATTTCGAAATCACGCGCGGAGCGACCTGTCGGCGACAGACCAAGAAGTGACCCGAGCTGCGGCCGCAGCATCTGCCCCGCCGCCGGTTACCCAACACCCCGTCCCCCGCCCGAGTCAGCGGCAGCCATGCGGTTATCGGAGATGCGGTTTGTGTACGGGCAGCTGGGGCACTTGATGGCGGGCATGATCCTGGTGGCCATGGGGCTGTGCGTCGCGCTCGTCTCCATGCTCGACATCATCGTCGCCGCGCTCTGCCCCACCGACCAGTGCCCCGAGGCGCTCATGCTCTCCGCCGGCCGCGCCACGGTACGCGACGTGACCGGACGCGACGGGGCGGGACGGGAGTGTGTACCTTTGGCACCTGGGTAGTCGGGTTTCGGAGTGACGGCACACGCTGAGCCTCGTCGTGCCTCCGTTTCTCACACCCTCGCCTCTCCCTTTTGTGCCCTATCCGCGAGATACGGAGAGCCTATCCTATCCTTCTCTAACTCTCTCGACTCCGCTCCCTTCCCCCCCCCCCCCCCCCCCCCCCCCCCCCCCCCCCGCCTTCCTGCAGGTGGGCGGCATCGCCAACATCATTGTGGCGCCCATATTCGGCGGGCTCTCAGATAAATTTGGCCGCAAGCCCTTCCTGCTGCTCGGCATTGCCGGCATCACCATTCCCTACGGTGGGTCTTTGCCGCACCTGACTTCCAGATTGACTTGACTCCCCTGCTCCGTTACTACGTGCACTCTCTGCTAATGTAACTCGCAGCTCTTGCGAATTCTCCTCTTGTCTCCAACGCTGCTTTGTTGCAACCATCACGGCTCGCCCCCCCGCCCGTCCCCCTTTCCTTCCCTGACAACTGCCCGTGCCCCTTACAGCCATCCTCGCTACCAGCTCCAGTCGCCTGGCCGTGTACCTGTTCTTTGCAGCGGAGACGGCAGGATCGGCCATGGGGGGCTCGGCGTGGCTCAATCTCATCTATGCCTACGTGGTGGGTGGGCCTGGTCTCGGCCCGCTCAGCCTACTGCCCTCCTGGCTCTTCCCTGCATGAATCGTACCTTGCCTTACCTTACCTTACCTTACCTTACCTTACCTTACCTTGCCTTACCTTGCCTTACCTTGCCTTGCCTTGCCTTACCTTGCCTTACCTTGCCTTACCTTGCCTTACCTTGCCTTACCTTGCCTTACCTTGCCTTGCCTTACCTTGCCTTGCCTTACCTTGCCTTGCCTTACCTTGCCTTGCCTTACCTTGCCTTACCTTGCCTTACCTTGCCTTACCTTGCCTTGCCTTGCCTTACCTTGCCTTGCCTTACCTTGCCTTACCTTGCCTTACCTTGCCTTACCTTGCCTTACCTTGCCTTGCCTTACCTTGCCTTACCTTGCCTTACCTTACCTTGCCTTGCTCTGCTCAGCAGTTCGCTGCTTCCTTCCTCCCTACGCCCTCCTCACTCTCGCTGTTCCCTATCCCCCCCCTTCGCACACTCCACACACACCGCCTCTTCTCTCTTCTCAACCCCTCATCGCCATGCCATCCCGCATCCTCTTGTCGTTACCTGATCCCTCTTTCCCTCTTTCCTTTCTCTCTCTCTCTCTGCCTCCCTCATTCTCAGGCGGACGTGACACCCGAGTCCAACAGGGCAGCGGCGTTTGGAGCCATCTCTGGCACCACGGCGTTTGGCTTCCTCGCTGGCCCCCTTGTCGCTCGCTTCGTGCCGCCTGCTTTCACCTTCCATGTCAGTCCGCCACATACTTTGCCCTCTTACATCCTCCCCCTCCCCCTCTCATGCTCCCCGCGCCTCCTATCCCTTACTATGCCACCTCAACTTTTGCATCTGAATTCAGCCTGCTAATTTGCAGATTCGCCCCGTTTATAGTCCCATGAACACCGGTTACTGCTATGCGCACGTGCGGTAACCCCATCCTCCATCCCCCATCCCCTGCGCAGGTGGCCACGCTCCTGTGTTTGTGCGGATGGACCTACATCCTGTGCATGGTGCCTGAGTCCGTCCCGTCCCACCGCCTCCTGCGCAAGGCAGCATCGCTGGCAGACGAGGAGCACGGCACCACGCCTGCTGCTGCTGCTGCTGCTGTCGCTGCTGTTGATGGCGCTAGTGCAGCAGCGGGCGATCAACACGGGGGAGGGGTAGGCGATGGCCGTGGGGGTAAAGTGGGGGAGAGGACTTGGCTGCTGGAAGGATGTGCAAATGGTGAGGGCAGGGGGGATAAGGGCGGGGGAGGAGGAGGAGAAGGGGGAGGAGGGAAAGCAGGCAGCAGTGAGGGAGGAGAGGTGGGAGGTGGGGGAGAGGGTGGTGGGCGCGCAGGGGCTCGGGGCGTGGGCCCCATGGGGGGAGGCAAGGCGGTGGCGCTGATGCGCAACAGATCGACACTGCGGGAGGCCATCCACGTCATGTCGTCCAGGTGCAACGGCAGGGGGCTCACTGCCAGCATACTGACTGCCAGCATACTGACTGCCAGAATACTGACTGCAAGAATACTGACTGCCAGAGTACTGACTGCCAGAATACAGACCGCCAGAATACAGACCGCCAGAGTACAGACCGCCGGAATACAGACAGCCGGAATACAGACCGCCGGAATACGGACCGCCAGATTACGGACCGCCAGAATACGGACTGCCAGAATACAGACCGCCAGAATACAGTCCGCCAGAGTACAGACCGCCGGAACACAGACAGCCGGAATACAGACTGCCGGAATACGGACCGCCAGATTACGGACCACCAGAATACGGACCGCCAGAATAACGACCGCCAGAATACCGACCGCCAGAATACCGACCACCAGAATACCGACCGCCAGAATACCGACCCCCAGAATCCTGACTGCCAGAATGCTGACTGCGGGGAAACTGGCTGCCAGAAAACTTTCTGCCAGGGGCTGAATGGGGCTGAATGGTTTTCCTTAGGGGTTCAGGAACAGCAGGAAGAAAGCTATGTTTCTTGTGGAAATAGGGCCAGTGAGGGGGGAAGAGGAGGAAAGGCTGCTGCTTTCTATGTTTCCCATGGATCCCTTCCCTTTTCCTCCCACCCCTTCCCCTTCCCTCCCCCTGCGTGTGCAGTCCTCTCGTGTCCGTGCTGCTGCTCGTGGCCTTCCTGCACGCCTTCGCTGACAACGGCCAGACGTCCAACATGTTTGTACGTCTCCCCATGCGTACCCTCGTCTCAACCTCAACAACAGTAGTCCCGCCAACATCGAATCCCGGTCTGATGCTTCCTTTCACTTCATGCCAAGTGGTCGGTCCACCATGAAAGGTGGGGATAACATAGGAATTTTACGCTCACCGTTCTCCCCATCCCTTGCGCCCGTCCATCTCTCTTCTCTCTCTCTCTCCATCTCCCCCCCATCCCTCGTGGCAGTACGTGTTCAAGGCCAAGTTCCACTGGAACAAGGACGACTTCTCCCTCTACACGGCTGGCATCGGCCTCTTTGCCGTGCTCTCCCAGGTGCGCTGCTCTCCCAGGTGCGCTGCTCGCCCAGCCTCGCTGGTTCTCAGGTATGCTGCTGCCATTTACACACTTCCTCACACCTTCCCTCACACGCACATATTCACCTGCACTCTCACCCATTCTCAACTGTTTCCCCACTCGCTATCTCTCCCCCCCCCCCCTTTCCTCCCCCCACGGCCCCTCCACCAGCTTGTGCTGCTGCCGCTGCTGCTGCAGGTGCTCTCCCTGCGCTCGCTGCTCATCCTCGCCATCTCAGTCAACAGCTTCCACGTGAGTCAAGTCGAGTCAAGCACCACCAGTCTCCTCCTCTCATTCAAGGCACGCATTCTCCTCTGGGTTGAGTCGTTCTCATGTGAGTTAGGCACAATCGTTCTGCCATTTCCGAGTTTTTGGGTGCGAGCTGATTCAAGAGAGCTTTTGAAATCCAAGTGAACGCAGTTGGTCCTTGGTTGATCTCGTTTGCTCCCAGTCAGTCAGGCATGGAAAGCACCGAGAGCAGCACCCCTGTGATTCCTCTCTGTCCACCTCTCTCCCCAGTTCCATCTTTCCTCGTTCTATCCACTCTGTCCCTTGTGCATATGTGCCCGTTTACGCGTGTGGGTTTGCACACATCTGTCTGTCCGTCCCTGTCCATGCATTTATGTGGCTGTACTGTGCCTCCCCTGCCTGTGCCTCCCCTGCCTGTGCCTCCCCTGCCTGTGCCTCCCCTGCCTGGGCCTCCCCTGCACTCAGATGGTCCTGTACGGGCTCGCCTGGAAGCCATGGGTACGTCCCCCCTCCCACTCCCGATCCACTCGGGCACCCACCACCCATCTATCCGCCCATGCCTGCCTGCTGCTAGTCAGTATAACGCGCCCTTAGCCATGCGTGCGTGCATGAGTGCCATGGTCGCAGCAGCTAGCCCCGCGCATGGCAGCAGCCGCACAACTGGGCATTGCCCACCTGAAGCTCTCTCGCTGCTCTCAAATCCAGCTGTCCTTCGCAGGGCTTGTGGCTTATGCTTTGAGGCGCCTAAGTTGATTTGCATGGTTTGTGGCATGGCATGGCATGGCATGGCATGTGAGCAGGTGGTGTACCTTGCACTCTCAATGAGCCTCATCTCCACGCTCACTCAAACATCGGTATGCCCTCTCCTCCTTCAAAGGCCTCCAATGCTGCTGACAGGTTGCTCAAAGGGATGCTCACCGTTTCTTTCTCTCATGCCCAGCTCGTGGTGTACTGTAAAAAGTGCATCCACTGTGATTCTGTCTCTCTCCTCCTTCCACGAGTTCCCTTACCCTTTCCCCTGCCTCCCCCATTGCCCCACTCTCCTCCTCAGATCGGGAGCATGGTGTCGCACCTTGCAAGCCCCAGTGAGCAGGTCAGTCAAGGGGTGGCTGGGATGCGTGGCGATGCATAACTGCACTGCATCCATGGCTGCACTGCACTCATGGCTGCACTGCACCCATGGCTGCTCTGCACCCATGGCTGCACGGGTGCATGGCCGAAGGGGTGGCTCCATGCATTCCTCCTCCTTCCATTCCACCTGTTCTTTCACCCGTCTGTCCTCCTTTTCTCTCTCACAACCACCTCCACCATGTTGTGCGGCTCAATGTGAATCCCCACTTGTCAGGGCAAGCTGCAGGGAGTGGTGTCTGGGGTCTCCTCCCTCTCTGCCGTGCTCGCACCTCTCACCATCAACCCCATCACTGGTGAGCTCACTCCCATAACACGCCGTGGTTGCATTGCACCTGCCCTCACTCACAGGCGCAATGGAGAGGACGGTTGTATGGAGGGGACGGCTGTATGCTATGGAAGGGGGGGTGATATGAAACAAGTGGATTACGCAGAAGAGGAGAGAGAAGGGAAGCACAAGGGAGGGACGTGTTCTACAAGATAATATTTGAGAACATGCTGCAGGTTTACTCCTCTTTTGTCTTCACTCCTCCCATTCTCCACCCTCCCCCCTCCCATCTCCCATCTCCTGTCTCTCCTCTCCGCCCGCCCCTCTCCCCGGCTCCAGCGTACTTCATGTCTGACTCGGCGCCCATCCATCAGCCCGGAGCCGGCATCATCGTTGCAGGCATTGTCGAGGTAAAGGCCCATGCGCTCCTTGGTCTCATCCCCTCCTTGCTCTCCTCCCCTCGTTCTCAATGCTCCCATGGCCCCAACCTCCCTTCCCCCCTTCCATCCCCTCCTGATCAACGTGTCCTTGTCTTCGCTGCTGCACACATCCCAACCTCTCGCACCGCTCGTCACACCTTGCTTCGCCCTCTCCTCCCCCCTTCGTCCTCACCTACCCTCCTCTGCCCTTCCACTCCCTCCTGCCTTTCCGGGTTGCCTCTCATTGCATCCTCTCTAGGCGGTGGCATGTGTCCTCGTGCTGGCACTGCCGCCTGTTGCTGCCAAGCCGGGAGTGAGAGCACTGACAGACCAAGATGCAGGCTCACCAGCACAAGGAAGCCAAGATGATGGTGCTGCGTCTGCAGGCGATGGTTATGGCAGGGGGGTTGGCGTAGATGCATCTGGATCTGGCTCATGTGGTCGAAGCAAGGGCCAGCGCACGGTCACATTTGAACATGGCTTTAGCAGCAGCAGCAATGGTGGAGACAGCAGAGGCAGCAACAGCAGTGGTGCCAGGGATGGTGGTAGCAGCAGCAGCAGCAGCGGCAACAACAACGTCACATCCACAGCTGGGCGAGGCATTGATGGGAGCAGAGAGGGGCATGGCGGCGACAGCTCGATCACCACACCGCTCCTTACATAGCATGTGGATATCAGGATCATCCTGTCCTGCACTCCACACCCTATGTAACCAACATCTGAGGTGCCTTAGAATCATCCCTCCTCATGCACGTTGGTGTGGCGAGGGCGAAGCCTTCCTTCGCACGTGTCTACTACCCCACCTGTATATTGTGGGCATTACCTCCCAGCACCAATAAAACCTGTGCACAGCATGACACTTACCGGTACGAGCTTTTGGAGAATTTGTGTGTAAAAAAAGCGGCGCAAATTTTGGGTTTCATTAAAATCAGTTGTCCAAACAAGTGCTCGGTATCAGAATTGAATAATTGAATGATAGATAGAGTGAGAGTACACAAAGATATACCTAAGTGTTGTACTCTCTAAGAGGCGACCCTATACAGTCTATACAAACATGACAAATACACATGTTTGACACACCCCCTAGAGTGCATAGGGGAATGCCCTAAACAAACAGCTCAGGGCGGCACTACTAGTCCAACCTCTGAGACAAGGGTCTAAGAGACCAGTCAGAAGGAGTACAAACAAGGCAAGAACAAGGGCAGGGCGGCACTACTAGTCCAGCCACTGCGAGAGGACACAAGTCCAGTCTGAGTATACGTATAAAGGACAGTACAAAGTCAAGGTCCTAGCAAGTGAGAGGCTACAGGAACTAGACCAAGCTGTACACAGTGCCGCTGATGATCTTTAGGCGCAAGCGCCTTTGTAAAGATATCAGCCGTGTTGGCACCTGAGGCCAAGTGTACTACGCGAGCCTGACATCGCTGCTGTAGCTCACGCAGGAGGAAGTACCGCAGCGGAATGTGCTTCGCTCTGCCCTCGAGTCCAGGCTCCTGACACAGGAGGATCATGGCCCGGTTGTCAGCGAACAGGACCGGGGCAGAGCTAGGCCGCTCACCTAAGTCAGTGAGCAAGAAGGTCAGCCAGCGGAGCTCCTGTGCCGCCATGGCACCAGCGTAGATCTCGGCCTCACAGCTGGACTGTGCTACAGACGAGGAGCGGGTAGCTCTCCACGAGACGGCACCTGAGCCAAGGCTGAAGCAGTAGCCCTGGGTAGACCTGAGCGTCTCAGCGTCGTCTGCCCACGAAGCGTCTGTGTGTCCAGTAAGGACCACTGGCCTGCGTCCTCCTAGCACTAACCCCATGCCCGATGTACTAGCAAGATAACGCAGAACCCTCTTAGCGGCAGACCAGTGCTACGGTCGGTGTCTGCCTGTGGCCACAAAGCGAGCCAGGATGCTGAGAGGGTATGCGAGATCTGGGCGAGTGCAAGTCATCACGTACATGAGGCAACCCACCAGCTCTGCGTAGGGGCCGCTGGGCTCTACCAACTCCTCAGACACTGGAGCGGAGAGTCTGTGGTCTACAGGCAGAGGGGTGGGCTGTGCAGAGGAGAACTGAAGGCTGAACCTCTGAAGGACCTGGCGCACCAAGTGTGACTGAGTCAGGGTGATGGTGCGCGCAGCTCTGTCCCTGGAGATCTGCAAGCCAAGGTAACGGCGCAGTTCTCCAAGGTCAGTGCACGTGTGTCTCTTCAGAAGCTCTGCCTTCACGGAGGCCAGCGCGTCCCTGTCTGCTGTGGCAAAGACCAGGTCGTCGACGTAAACAAGGATGTAGAACGGAGTCTGGCCAGCACGAACGAAGAGTGAAGGGTCTGCAGAAGACGGAAAGAACTGCAGGTCAGTAAGGGTAGCACGAAGAGTGTCGTGCCACTCACGAGGAGCCTGGCGCAGGCCGTAGACGGGGCGCCGCAGGAGCCACTGGGTACCAGGAGGGAAGGTGCCAGTAAAGCCCGGAGGGCGACGCAGGTAGACCTGCTCGTGTAGGCTGCCCTGAAGGAAGGCAGTGGAGAAGTCGAGGGAGTGAAGCTCGTAGTCACGCTGAGTCGCTAGGTGTAACAGAACCCGAAGAGTAGTCATCTTCGGGGTCGGAGCGAAGGTCTGGAAGAAGTCCACCCCCTCGCGCTGACTGAAGCCTCTAGCCACATAGCGCGCCTTGAAGACCGGCGGCTCTCCAGGGGGGCGCTTCACCTTGAAAAGCCAGCGGCCATCGACTACGTTCACCCCAGGTGGGGGAACTGCGTCGACGAAGGTGCCGGTGGATCTCCAAGATGCCATCTCCTGCTCCATGGCAGCTATCCACGGTGAGGCCCAGGGTCCCGAGGTCGCCTCAGCGTAAGTGCGAGGGGTCGGGATGTCGAAAGCGTCTGGGTCACCCTCAGGGACTAGCAGCATGGAACAGAGATGGGGAGCAGCCTCAGAGAGAAAGCAAGCTCGATCTGGCGGTCCTCAAGGACGTCACTGCCAAGGGCAGAAGCACCCCCGACAGACGGAGGACAGGCAGGGTCAGAGACCAGAGCGGTGGCGTAGTCAAGGCGGCGGGTAGAGGCGAAGTCAGCGACAGCAGCGACAAGAGTGTCAAGGCACGGGACCGGAACAGACGGGTCGGTAACGAGAGAGGCAAGGACCCGAGGAACAAGAGGACGAGCGGCACGAAGGTAGTCAGACAGCGGGGGGGGTGCAACAACAAGGGAGGACGGAGGAGGCGACGGCAGAAGGGGAGGGCGAGACGCGTGGGAACGAAGCAACATAGGGTGGGGAGCGCAAGACAGGCGAGGCAGGACAAGCACAGGAGGGGCGGTGAGACCAGACGTGCGACGGAGGAGTCGGGTCAGGAGACAGGGGAGGGGACACAGGAGGGGAACGAGGGGGGAGACGAGCCGGGGACGAGTCCGGCGGAGGAAAAATAGGGCCGTAGACAGGAAGAGGAGGAGACGGTGGGGGAGGAACCGACACAGGTCGGGGGACGGAAGGCCGAGCAGGCGAAGGGCGGACACCGGCGAGGACTGCTGCTGCGGCAGCACAACGGCGACACCTGGACCGCAAGCTGCTCCTCGGCTACCACCAGCACTCTCCACACCCGCACCCCCAGAGGGACCACCCCCAGGGCGACCGGGACGTGCACCCCCAGAGTCAGCGAACGGGTGCTGCGACGGCGGCGGTGGCGGTGGCGGCGGCGGCAGCGACAACGACGGCTGCAGCGGCGGCAGAGGCGGTGGAGGAGGGGACTGGGAAGGGGACGCCAGGGGAGGGGCGGCCGGCGAGGACTGCATAGGAGGGCCACCAGAGTCAGAAGACTCCCCAGCCGGGTCCACCGACGGAAGGGGGGTGACGTGGGACACACCAGAGGGGGCGGGACGGGGAGGAGGAGGAGGAGGGGCAGGGACTACCGGGGAAGGAGTGACCAGGAACGGGGGGGGGTAACCGGGGGACCACGGTGGGGGAAGCGACGGTAGTAGGAGACGGACTCGTCAAAGGTGACGTCACGAGAGTGAAAGAAGCGGTGAGACGGCGGGTGGTAAAAGTGCCAGTCGGACGCGTCAAGGGGAAAACCGAGGAAGACGCAGGGAAAGGTGTGGGCAGTGAGCTTGTCCGTGCCGGAGGCACGGACGTGAGCAAGGCAGCCCCAGACGTGGAACGCAGACGCGTCACCAGGAGACCCAGTCCAAAGACGGGTCGGCGAAACCTGCGACTGCTGAGGTGCGGCCACAAGTTCAGCTAGTGAGAAGCGTAGCGCACAGCGAACGGCCACAGAAAATGGGGTGCATCGGCATGGATCATGGAGGTGCGAGCCACCTCCATGACCAAACCGATGCGTCGCTCAGCGACCCCATTCTGCTGTGGGGAGTCCGGTAGGGTGAACGTCTGGGTGATGCCCTCCGCACGACAAAAGCGACCAAGGACACCTGAGGCAAACTCGCCACCACGGTCTGAGTGAAGACGCAAGACAGGGAGACCGCGGTGGACACGCGCAGAGACAAGCCAGGGGATGAGAGCGCCAGGCACGTCGGCCTTGCGCTCCAGGGAAAGACTGTGGTGTAACGAGTGAAGTCGTCGACGAGCACAAAGAAGTAGCGCTCTCGACGCGGCCCAGGGACAGGGGCGGGGCCCCAGACGTCCAGGTGCAGGGTCTGCAGCGGCGCGGAGGTAGGGGGAAACGAGGAGGAGTGAGGGCACGGCGAAGCCGACCCTCGACACAAGGCGTGCAAGGGGGGGCTGGGGAGGAGGGAAACGCGGGGAGAACCTGGGAGACCAAGGACAAGACCGTGCTGGGACATGTGACGCAGACGCGGGAGCGCAGGGTGACCTAGGCGGTGGTGCCAAGGAGGGTCGGGTGAGTGAGGGACCGACAGGAGCAGGCAGCAGCAACCTGGGTAGACGCAGCCACCTGAGGGGCGCCCAGCCGGGGGGGTCACGGTGTCCAGAGTGAACAGGCCGGACACCGGGTCCCGGGGGAACGTGGACAGGGGGCACCAGTGGCGGCCTCGGTACAGACAGCATACCGCTCGTGACCAGGGAACGTAGTGGTGACGCCAAGGTCCTGGAGGCAGCCGACACCAACTAGGTTCCTGGAGAACGAGGGGATATGCAGACCTGTAAGAGAGCCCGAAGGAACCGCCGGACAGGGAAGGGTGGTGGAACTGCGGGCGACTACCGGACCGCCGGAGGGTCAGCAAGAGAAACGGCAGCAGGAACAGGAAGCGGCGTCAGGGTGGTGGAGTCGCGGAAGAAACACCGAGAAGCGCCAGAGTCCAAGGTGAAGGAAAGCGAAGCAGAGGCGTCTGGCGACGGAACGACGGCGGAAGCACCAAGACTACACAAAGCAGGGGATCCTACGCCTGACGCAGCAGGGGAGGCTACTAGGCACACCTACACTAGGCAACAGTGAGTAATAAGCGGAAGCACACTAGAGTCATCAGCATACATCACATGCAGAGCAGAAACAATGGCATCCATGTCCATATCAAAGATCTGAATCTGACGACTAAGCAAACTGTGCCAGTCCGGGAGGTCTGGCGACGGGCCGAAGCGCTGACGAAAGAGGTCGTCCAGGCGACGAAAACAGCGGGGAGTGGAGTGACCGATCTTACCGCAAACGAAGCCGCGGCGAGGACCGGTCTGGATCTGGTACTGACAGCCCGCCGCCAGAGCTACCACTCGCACACCACCACGCGCCCGCCACCGCCAGCGCCGGGCCACCCGGGCGGGAGGACACTCGTCTGCCGCGTCTGCGACGGCTGCTGCGGCTGCTGCGAAGGCTGCGACTGCGGCGGCTGCTGCGGCTGCTGCAACTGCAGGGGCGGCGCTCAGCTGGACTGGGCAGGGTCCCCTCGTCCGCTCCAGCACCGACCCGACCCCACTACCCTCCCGCACCCCGCCTCCGCCGCGCCCAACCTTGGGGCGGCGGCCCTTC